CCGAAATTCAACCAATCTCTTTTTTCCATTTTGACGTTAATAGCGTTATTAACGTGGTTGGTTTCTATTTGTCATAAAATCATAACTCTTCCGATGAGAGTTAGATTTTCTTGACGTTTATATTTTTGGGATCACTAGGTCTGTTTTTTCCAAATACACTAACCATTTTAACTTTTTGATTAATTATTTTCGATTCAACTTTTCATATTTTCCTTCAATATGGGAAGTTTTTATCATTATTAGTCAATCCTGACTCCTAGTAACAATTAATGACGTAAAACTCTCAATTATTACAACTAGTTATAAGGGAAACTCAAAAAGGACTTTGCTTCTAATTCAAAAATATACCAATTTAGTTATTGGCTTAGACACCTTAATCCAACAATCTCTTCGGTCGGGATTCTGCTAGCACAATTTATCGGTTTTCGCTAGAAACTCTATAAGTTAAGATAGACTTATTATATTTCAAGTGTAACTTATATTTATAGTCATAATCGTTATTATGAACCTATAAATAAGATTTATCAGTAAATCTATGTCATTATACTGATTGATCTACTTTTGGGAGTGAAGTCTAGGCTGGATTTAGTGAGGCGTTTAGAGTGCAATTTCCAAACAGTATACTCTGTATAGCAAACGAACCTTACCTCTGATATGATCCTACCTAGTTATTCCTTACTTTATAGATCTTGATGTAGACATTGGGATTAGTGAGAAATCTTGACTATCATTTGTTATCAGAATCACCAGACTAAGAATCAGTATTAATCATACTTAGGTCACATCAAAATAAAAGCTAAGGTGTTAGGAAAAGCTGTACCGAATTCTCGAGTCACCCACCTAAGTCAAGTGAGTGCATAGTCCCTTTCATTAACATGATTTTAATACAAGTATTAATTAGAGTATTAAATATCTACCAAAAAGGTTTGTATGTGAGCTATATGCTAATTGCTTGGATTATGTGTTAGAAATGTATTTGATGATATACAATATGTGAATTAGATATGGTTCTATATATGTTAACATATATATATATATATATATATATATATATATATATATATATATATATATATATATTATTACGTAATAGTAATAATATAAGCATTATTAGAGAAAAAGATAAAAGTATATTAATACCTAAATGCTTTGTGTTAAATATATACACTAAATTACGATAATGTTGCTAAACAGAGTTGGTATAGGAAGCCTAGTAGTATTGTCCGTCAACAAGATATGACTTGTTATAGATGCCTAGTTCAATTAAGTTTGATATTAGGTAGTCTCATCCGAAGAGTGTGTGTAAGTTAGGAACGGAGAGTAGAGTTATGTTCCATGACACTTTCAGGTGTTGATAGTACGAAATACGTACTAGAGTAAAAATTGTATTCCTTTTTGGATGACCATAAATGTTTGGTCCAGATCAGGAAATTGTAATTGTATGTCTGGTCATCCCCCGGAGTAAGATGACAACACTTGATCATTCTAGACGGTATTGTGAATTACTTTTCTAGTGTGGGTTCATAACCCATAGATGTAGATGAAACGAAATACAATATTAATCAAATACTCTGATAACTCCAATGCCTTTATGGCTTTCACCGGCAAAGGAAGCCCCTAGCTGTGTAATCAACACCTTGCTTTCAAACGGTTTATCTTCCTGATAATCATGGACTAGAATATAAGAGGATCGATTGGGGTAGGTATGTATAAGTATAAGGTTTTATAGATATCCAAATCGGAACAGTTGGTTTTGCAAGATTAAGATATATATATATATATATATATATATATATATATATATATATATATCTTTACTATATTATTAAGGATATTGCCCATTTCTTGAAAATTAAGAGGTACAATATATATTACCTCATGTACAATAATATTTAGCATATAACCAATCTTATACGTATTATACTACACGGATCATATACATATTACATTACAGTACAAGGACCTAACCTAATCTCCTAAACACAGCTGCCATCTAACCTATTCACATCGACACCACCAAAGATGAGTGAAGACTTCCCCTTTCCAACTTCATCCGATGCTTCGAGGGAAACCCCGGAGGCGAACGTAGATCAGAAACCGTCATTTATCAAGTTTTTCCGTTCGATTGATTGATCCGTGGAGGGAAACCTCTGATCTTGATCCGTTGTTTGAAAAAAAAAGGAAAAATTAGGGCAAGATTTTTTAGATCTGTAACGGAGGCGGTGATGAACCGCTCAAACCTCTGCTTTGGTGAATGCTCGTGTGGAGTGGAAAGAAACCCCGGAGGCGCACGTAGATCAGAAACCGTCATTTATCAATTTTTTCCGTTCGATTGGTTGATTCGTGGAGGGAAACCTCTGATCTTGATCCGTTGATTGAAAAAAAAAGGAAAAATTAGGGCAATATTTTTTAGATCTGTAATGGGGGCGGTGATGAAGATAGACTACTGCTACTCAAGGGTGTTAGTGGAGCTTTCAGGCCTGGTGTTCTCACAGCTCTAATGGGAGTCAGTGGCGCTGGAAAAACCACTCTCATGGATGTGCTTGCCGGTATCCAAAAAAACAAGAAACATTCGCACGTATTTATGGATATTATGAACAAAACAACATCCATTCACCTCATGTTACTGTTTATGAGTCTTTGCTATACTCAGCCTGGCTCAGGTTAGCCACAGATGTCGATGAACACAAGAGAAAGGTCCGTTATACCCTTTTTCAATTTTGAGCACCTTTTTTAGTCGATTATTATACTGGTTTCTCAAGTTGAATAATGTTTGTTTACAGCAATTTATAGATGAAGTCATGGACCTTGTGGAATTGAATCCATTGAAGGATGCGTTAGTTGGATTGCCAGGTGTCAATGGTTTGTCAACTGAGCAACGAAAGAGGTTAACAATAGCGGTTGAGTTAGTGGCTAACTCGTCTATAATTTTCATGGATGAGCCGACTTCTGGTCTTGATGCGAGAGCTGCTGCCATTGTTATGAGAGCTGTAAGGAAAACAGTCGACACAGGAAGAACAGTTGTTTGCACAATTCATCAACCCAGTATCAACATTTTTGAAGCTTTTGATGAGGTAAGAATTTGCACTTAATTACTATTTACCCATTCGTTCTTATGCTGTTCAATTTGTTCTAATCATAATCGGTTTTGCAGTTCTTCTTGATGAAAAGAGGAGGACAAGAGTTGTATGTTGGGCCTGTGGGTCGCCATTCTTGGGATATAATCGAGTATTTCGAGGTATGAAGCTATCTAATTAATAAATATGACTCAACTTGAAATAAGATCGATTAAGTTTTCTAATAGTGAATGTTTTGATAAAACAGGCTATTGATGGTGTAAGTAAGATAAAAGACGGATATAACCCTGCTACCTGGATGTTGGAAGTTAGTACTTCAACTCAAGAACTTACACTCGGAGTTGATTTCACTGGATGTTGGAAGTTAGTACTTCAGCTCAAGAACTATTTAGTTTTTGTTTTTACAGATGAAATTGAAGATTTGTGAACATATGGATCAGTTTTAGGTGCTTCTTAAACATGATGGTAATATGAACAGAAATACAATATATGCTTCATTGTTTATGTTGTTCAGTCTGATATGGATTTAACTACTTAGTTTTTGTTTTTTCAGATGAAATTGAAGATTTGTGAACAATACACAGATCAGTTTTAGGTGCTTCTTAAACATGATGGTAATCTGAATAAAAATACAATTTTTTTTCTTAAATTTGCAGATGAAATTATTTTATTAAAAAACAACAATCCGATAGACATGTTTTTCAGTGCTATGTATTTGGACCCAAAAATGCTGGAAAGTCTGCATTGTTAAGTTGATTTATCGGAAGGTAAAAGTTTTCCTAAATTTTTTTTTTTGTTATTTCTACAAACTTGTTGATAAAATATGGTCTCGATTTACTTGTAGGCCTTTCCAAAACTCATATGCTTTAGATAACAATAATTGTTATAAAGTCAATGCTGTTGACCAGCTTCGGGTGAATGTTTACTGTTAAACATTATGATGTGATATTGGAGACACTCTCTTTACAATTGTGTCTTAACATAGCTGATTTTGCAGGGAACTAAGAAGACTTTGATATTGCGTAAAATTCAAGAAGATGATGTCAAAGAGTTTCTATCTAGCAAGGAGTCCCCTAATGTGGTAAAATTTGAAGTCCTGGTAATATCTTTATTTTTATTTCAGTTATTATCGAGTTATTTTTTTACATTAAGAATTATTTTGTTTTGTTTGGTATGATGGAATAGGAAGAATGGAATGGAATTGAGCATTCCCAAAGGCATTTGAATTCTGATTCCTTCCATTTTGTTAATTTTCATTCCGTCCTGGATTGGAATGAAAATTGTAATATAACCCTTTTTTATTAAATTTTTTTTTTAGTATTTCATGATATTTAATTAAATGATAAGTTTCTTTTCTAAAAATAACTAGAAGGAATTATTTTTATTTGTAAATTTTACTAACATTTACAGTAATTTCAGCTTCTAATATATATTTTATTTTTAGTATGATATTATTTTAATGAAAATATTATTAATTTTGGTATAATTTTTGACAGTTAGTATTTATGGTATAATTTAAAGTATTTTTGGTATGACTTTTTACGGTTAGTATTTATGGAACGATTTAAAATATTTTTGGTATGATTTTTGACATTAAGTATTTATGGTATGATTTAAAATATTTTTGGTATGACTTTTGACAATTAGTAATATCCGAAAATACATCATATGATACATTATTCTGTCTATAAATCTAATATATTATGTTCTTATTTTTTACTTTCACAACACAATTCACCAACAAGGAATCGGGAATTAGAAGATTACTTCATTGCATTGGATTACATTTCGTGACACGAATTTAGGTTTTCTTTATTTCCTCTATCTGTTTGATGAATCTTCTTCTGTCTTCTTTACTTCTTCTACTTTACTAGATCGAATTTGGTGTAACCATGTGAAGATTGTTTTTTAAAAATTGCATTCAGGATGAGGTTTAGTTTTTGTTGTTTGCATCATGCTTGTTTGTGTTATCATTCAATATTCATTATTGTTGTTCATGAATGGTATAAAGTACTTTGATACATATCTATCATTCACAGTTAAGTATAATTTACCAGGAAGCTTCAAAGAGACATTGAGTTTTCCTTTGTATCACGTTTGTCCCTATGTTGCTTTGTCCCTATGTGGTAAGATAAGAGATGACAAAGAAGATGAACACAAGTTTTTCTCCCAAATAAGTCCCAAATTTTCTTCTGTTTCATCTTAATATGTCATCTTTATGATTTGGTTATCAAAATTCATCAATAAATGTGGTCTAAATACATATTAATAACATAAGGCATATAAATTCGCAGAAGTTAATCCATTTTCTAAGAATCTCAAATGATTGGTAACAAATACTTAAATTATTTTGAAATGCTTCCTTTCTCCAAAAATATATATTTCTTTTATAATAAACGTATTTTTAATCAAAAGTATCTATCACCAAACACACGCAATAATAATCAAGATTCTTTGCACAGTGCTTTTGATTACAATTTACAAACCCCGGCCAATTGAAAATATAAGCCATCACAATGATTGTCAATTATTTGTTTAATTTCCTGTTAAAAACTGGGTGTCCTGTAATACTTTTGCGAAATATCGATCCTTCTTCAAATGGGTTATGTAATGGCACCAGATTGATATGTCGAGCTTTCCAACAAAATGTCATTGATGCAGAGATAGCTGTTGGCCAACATGCTGGAAAAAGAGTGTTTTTACAAAGAATTCCTCTATGTCCGTCTGACGATGAGATGTTCTCATTCAAACTAAAGAGAAAGCAGTTTCCAATTCAGCTTAGTTTCTCTATGACAATCAATAAAGCTCAAGGACAAACAATTCCAAATGTAGGTGTTTATCTACGAGAATCGGTATTCTCACATGGCCAGCTTTATGTGGCGTTGTCTAGAGGAATATCACATGTCAATACCAAGGTATTAGTAAAGCCGGAAAAAACGTTTGATAATGATGGAATCTACACATCAACCGTTGTGTACAAAGAAGTGTTATGTGATTAACAAGGTAAAATCAACAACTTATTATTTTACAATTTCTTCATATATGTATCTTAGATGCTCATTTGATGTTTAATGCAGGGCTAGCAGATGAAGCAACATGATTGCAGATTGGTGTAGTTTATATATTGGACATGTTATAAATGAACAAAACTACATGATTGCAGATTTTGGTTATTTATAGGTTGTAAAATCAAGTATGAACTATTAGATGAAATTCCAAATGTTGACTCAACTTCTGTCGTATTATATGACTATGCACCTTGCAAGAAACTATCCGTTGAAATGAACTATTCGACATAAAATAGTCTACCAAATGGCCGCAATGAATATCTCACGTCTAAAGGAAACTAATCATCACATTAAAACTATCTTCCAAAAGAAACTCTTTGCCGCCCGGCGCTTAGCGCGGGTAAACGGCTAGTGTATATATATATATATATATATATATATATATATATATATATATATATATATATATATATATATGTCGAGCTTTCCAACAAAATGTCATTGATGCAGAGATAGCTGTTGGCCAACATGCTGGAAAAAGAGTGTTTTTACCAAGAATTCCTCTATGTCCGTCTGACGATGAGATGTTCTCATTCAAACTAAAGAGAAAGCAGTTTCCAATTCAGCTTAGTTTCTCTATGACAATCAATAAAGCTCAAGGACAAACAATTCCAAATGTAGGTGTTTATCTACGAGAATCGGTATTCTCACATGGCCAGCTTTATGTGGCGTTGTCTAGAGGAATATCACATGTCAATACCAAGGTATTAGTAAAGCCGGAAAAAACGTTTGATAATGATGGAATCTACACATCAACCGTTGTGTACAAAGAAGTGTTATGTGATTAACAAGGTAAAATCAACAACTTATTATTTTACAATTTCTTCATATATGTATCTTAGATGCTCATTTGATGTTTAATGCAGGGCTAGCAGATAGCAGATGACGCAACATGATTGCAGATTGGTGTAGTTTATATATTGGACATGTTATAAATGAACAAAACTACATGATTGCAGATTTTGGTTATTTATAGGTTGTAAAATCAAGTATGAACTATTAGATGAAATTCCAAATGTTGACTCAACTTCTGTCGTATTATATGACTATGCACCTTGCAAGAAACTATCCGTTGAAATGAACTATTCGACATAAAATAGTCTACCAAATGGCCGCAATGAATATCTCACGTCTAAAGGAAACTAATCATCACATTAAAACTATCTTCCAAAAGAAACTCTTTACCGCCCGGCGCTTAGCGCGGGTAAACGGCTAGTGTATATATATATATATATATATATATATATATATATATATATATATATATATAGCATTGTGAGACTGAAATCCCTATGTACTCACCAATTTTCCCAACCTGACCCACTCAGCTTGTAACTTATGTATCTGTATTGATTATGACATCCGTAGGATTTTATCTGAGACAATCTTGAACTCCAAAGATTTTTATATACTGGGATTTTCCACGAATAAAGTATCATGATTTTTGAAGCGTAAATAAAATTTCTTTTTGGTTCTGAAAATTAGAGGATGACACATTTAATATAGATTTTGTGAGTATGCATCTGATTTTTTATTTTGCATATGAAATAAGACGTGTCACTAGTAGGTGGTGATTAACGGCGAAGAGTAGATGGTAGGTCGTTGGTAGTAGTACTAAGTGATGATGGACATAGGTGGGCTAGGATTTGGGTTAGGAGACGAGAGAGAGAAGAGTAGAGAGAGAGACGAAGAGAGAGTGACGAGCGAGAGAGGAGCAGAGAGATGAGAGGAGAGAGGAGAGAGAGCGAGAGAGAGAGAGAGAGAGAGAGAGAGAGAGAGAGAGAGAGAGAGAGATGAGAGAGAGAGAGAGAGACGAGAGAGAGATAGAGAAGAGAGAGAGAGAGAGAGAGAGAGCTTAACTTGGCAATAAAAGGGACCATTTGTACAATTTTTTGATACCATAGGGATTCTTTCTATCAAATTTTTAAAAGTTGGATTAAACTTTCGAATTTACTAAACCACATGTATCATTTTTGTAATTTATACGAAATTACAAATGCTACGTCCACGTGTCATTGGAGCAAATGCAGAATTGTTGATGGCGCACGTCAGCTTCCAGATAAGCATTTTCGCCAAATAGAAAACCCTATTATTTTTCCATATCATTACACCATCATCATCTTTCACCCCGTTTAATAACACACAAAGTCTCTATGCAAATGGATTCTATCGGAGCTTTGTGTCTATTCGATTCGTTAAAATCGAAGAAAATCTTTTGAGCACCGGATTAGAGTCGTCGGTACTCCAAAGCCCCTGAAAACAGCACACACCTGCCTCTAAGATCTCTCAGTCGCCGGAAAGTTCTACTTTCGGTGATTCAGATCAAGGAAGAAGCCAAGCAGCTCCTAATATCAAATATGAAACTTTCTCTTTCATTTGATCCATTAACATTCTCTACTTCCCTAACCCTAACTCCATTCACGAAACCAAACACCTCCAAAACCCTTCAAGAAAAGTAAGTACCGTTTCCCCTTTCTGATATTGTTCCTCATTTATGACACCGGATGAAGCTTCAATGATGTCCCCTATCAAATTAACTAGACGTTCAAGTGGTATAAAAATATTTCTATTAGTTTCATCCCAATTCTAGTATGTAATTGTACCTACAAACATTGATGATCCTGTTGCAAGAACTATCTCATGAATGAATTTATGAGGAAACGTTATCCATGGGGGGTCCTTCTAGACTATGATATTCAATTCAATTCATTAAGTTTCACCATTTTGCTTAACGAAATTTCCTCCACATGCATTGTTAACAAAGAGTTATTGAACCCATGGTCTGTATGCGAAAAATTATCAAAAGCTAATTAAGAGAATACTCCTGGTTAGAAAATACAAATCACCTTTATTTCATATAATGATTTTGCTGAAAGTTTTAGGTTTGGAATCAATCCGTTGCCATAAACAAGTCAACCTATATAACCCGTTTAACTGCATGGGTTAACAGGTTCTTGGGTTAGGATCTGATTTGTGGGTCACAGGAAAAAATCTAAACATCAAATATCTATATTTTAGTCCTTAACCTCTCCTTCAGTTAATAAATATATTTTTTATTTTTTATTTTGAATCTAATAAAATAAACGGATTTATGGGTCACGCAAAATTATTTGCAAACCCGAACAAGAATTGTTGTTTATCTTCGTGCCAGGTTGGAAGGTTAAAAAGACTCAACCCAAACCTGTTTATCTTCGTGTCGGGATCGTGTCATGTCAAGAATTGTTGCCCCTAATATATATGTATAAAAAAAGTTTTATAATTTTTACTTTTTTTATTATATATATATATATATATATATATTATATATATATATATATATATATATATATATATATATATATATATATATATAATATATATATATAGGGGACGGTTCACTTGAGATTCAAAAAATAGAGAACTTAAGATTCAACGTCAGCCACATATTGTTCATTTGCCGCTCCAACGCTCCAGCGTACCAACAGCAGCGGAGTATGCCTAATCATAAATGATTATATGGCAGAGAGGTATAATCATATATGACTATACATGTTCATACATGTATGCCTAATCATAAACTATTATACATATATGTCTATTCACAGATTGAATAATCATATATGATTATAACAGTTGATGTCAAAAGAGAGGTGACAGTGGTATAAGTGACGGAGGTGGCAGTGGTGGGATCGACTGGTGGCAGAGGTGGTGGTAGTGGTGACGGCTGTGGTGGTGGGCAAGGTGGTCGAGGTGAAAGGAATGGACGACGCTACATAATCATTTATGATTATAACTGACCCGTCGCGCCGGTACACTGGAGGGTTAGAGCGGGAGATGTGAATTATGTGGTTGAGGTTGAATATCAAGATCTCTATTTTATTTTGAATTTCAACGAAAACTTTTATATATATATATATATATATATATATATATATATATATATATATATATATATATATATATATATATATATATATCTATATAAGATCAACAGAAACTGCATAAACCCAAAAAACCCTAAATACCTAAAAAAAAGCTAATAAAATACATAAAAAATATTTTGAGATATCTGATCTTTTTGTCTTTATAAATATAAAAATCGCATATATAGGTATATTTTTGCTGAAAAAAAAATGATTTTTTTAAAAAGAATTCAATTTTTTTAGCGAATTATAGATATATGTGTGATTAAGTTTTATAAAGTCCAAAAAAAGATTAGATGCCTCAAAATATTTTTATATATGTATTTCTATTGATTTTGTAGGTTTTAGGGTTTTCAAAGGTTATGCATTTTCTATTGATTTTTCTATATATATATATATATATATATATATATATCTATCTATATATATATATATATATATATATATATATATATCTATATGAAAAAAAATTAATAATTCATATTTTTTGATACTTTTTATAGAAAAAAAATTAATAAATATATCAAAATTTATACTTTTTGATACTTTTTAAACATAGATTCATATTCATATTAAAAAAAAAACGATATTTCAGTTCAGATTCAGATTGTGAACCTGTTCAGATTCCCATTGTGCCCTTCTCGATTCACAGTGTGCATAATAGTAAGTCAGATTCACAATGTGAATGAACTGATCGAACTTTTTCACATTGTGAATGTTAAAAATTGAAATATTTACAGTTTAGATCCACAGTGTGAATCTAAACTGATCGAGGTTTTTTTTTTTGGTCGGTGTTGATGTTTATTAATAGAGTACAAAAAATTAATATTTTTGGTATAATTAGTTTTTTTATAGAAATAAACTTAAATATTGAAAAAACTAACAAAATGAAGTGGGTTTTTTTCGGAAAAAAAAATCGATTTTTGTATATCAACATGGATCTCTATGGAAAGAGGATGAAAAATCGAGAACATCGGTATATTCGGTTTTTTTTTTCTATAAAAAATGTGGCCAAAAAAAAATTTTAAATGAAAAAAAGAGGTGAGTTTTTTGGTAAGGAGGTGAATTTTTTTATATAATCTGGTGTGTGTGCGTCCAATGTACAAATGTACATATATTTACTTGGCCGTTGATCATTATGATTTCCGACGCTCAAGATTGGTTCTTTGGTTCCTTGTTAATTATGGTTCTCTATTTTATATATAATATATATATATTATATATATAATATCTATATATATAATCTATATATCTATATTATATATTATATATATATATTATATAATAAAGCCAAGTAAAAAAAAATTAAAAATCAAGCCCTTTGTGTCCAAATGAAGCCGCATAATATACTAATAGTAAGCGTTTTATTAGCCCAACAGTGAGTTTTGTAGCAGCCCAAGAACTCTAATATGGATGCCCAACGTCACCCGAACATCGTATCTAACAGGTGCCAAAATTTGCAGCAACATCAGTATTTTAAGCAGCAAAATGTTCCTATTCAACAGCCTTTATAGCAGCTCTATGCTCCAAAAATCACCCATATGGCCAATGTAACTCGAGCTATTGTATTTCTACTCACAATCTTCATTGTTGGAGTTTTTGCCACTTTTATAGATATACGTATTTATATTTTGACGTGTTTACTAAAGAAAAAATCAAATTCATATCGTTACATACAAAATTGTCTAATTTGCTTGATATTAAGCCAATTACTTTAACTTAGGGATAAGATAGATAAGTAATATAATACCCTTACGGTAAAATGCATAAAAGCTATTAAGGAGTTGTTTGTTTTTTTTTAAGCGAAAATGTTTGAAGTCAGCGGACCACTTTTGCAATCCTCTGCAACAACAGAAGAGGTGGTCAAAACGGCTGCAACCTGGAATAAGAAGTATGTTTGTTTTTAACGTCTTCCGCCTTCTACAATAAACTAAAATTTAAATAAATTGATTTTAAAAAATTAAAATAGTTTCATATTATAATAATTGTTCTGAGAATACACATTTTAAACCATATATAATATATTATAGGTGATTTTTTTTTGTTAAACACATTATATTTATTCATTTATATTATATTTAATTTTGTGGTTGTTAACAAAATTGTTGTTTAAATAACATATGTCACGTATTTAGAGCAAATATAGAAGTCACTTTACTGAAACAATTTATCTACACTACATCGAATAAAACCGATTCAAATGTTTTTTATTTGAATTTTCAAATATTAATCATTAACTTTTTAATCTGATACCAAATTGTTATTCCATATATGTTTTCCGATTTAATTGGTAAGCTTCTAGTCAGATTGCTCCAATCACGGAGTCTGACTATGTCATTGCTCATGAGCTCTTTACCTATTTTTATGTTTTCGTGTCCCTCTTTGTTGGGGTATGATCTTCAAGTTAGAGATGAGCCGCGTTGGTGCTTCTACAACGTTTAATTTGTCAAATTGGTTTTATTTGATGTTAATGGTGTTTATTTCAAATTTTCATCGCCATGTAAGAATGTTGGAGTGAATTTCTCCATGGATGCACTTGTAGTTATAAATGAGTTCTTCTAGTTTGTTCTTCATCTTATATCAGGGTTTGGTAATCACATTCTTTTTAAAATAAAAAGTTCTGATAAGCAACTAATGCCTAGATTTTGTAGCCTTAAATGACAATCACTAGAACTTCTTGTATTAATATCCGACTTGTTACAAAATCCGCAGCTCGAAACAACACTTCTTTCCATATAATATTTCATGTTGTCCATTAGTTTATGACATCCACAATACATTGAGCTCTTTGGAGTTTAATGGACAGACACACTACTAGAAAAATACCCTTTAATGACGCGCAAACCATTACACGCGCTGTTTTACAATACGCAAAAGTGTGTGTCCTAAAAATAATGTCAGTTCTTCCAAAATGTGAAGGATTTAGGACGCACATTTTTGCGTGCCCTAAAATTAGTGTAAAAAAAAGGCGGAGGGCACCTGTCTTAAAAAGCGTATCGTGAAATCATGTCACTTTATATTTTTTTAATGAAACGAGCATCTTCATCTAGTAGCTTCATCTTTAGTAGCAGCGGGAAAAGGAATTCCCAAAAAAATTAGAAAAGTTGAAAACCCCGCCATGGCATGGACCATTATCTAGGGCTTTTTCAAGGAGTGCTCTTTGTAATATTCGCTCCCTCACCTCACCTCCTATCGGCGAACTTAGGTCATCTCTTTCCATCGGCGACCTCGGCTCATCTCTTTCCACCAGCGACCTTGGGCTCACCTCACCTCACTGAAGACTGCAACGACTGCTCAACTTTACAAGCCCTAAGTACGATTAAGGTATGTTTTGGTTTACAAGCCCTACCTTATCTTTATCTCGACACTTCTCAACAACAGTCGTCGACTTACTCCGCCGACCGCTGTTCTCCACATCTCCAACTTCTTGCCTTCCCATGGTCCGTCAATCAGATCTAATTCGCCAAAGGTATGTTTTGGGACCTAGAGACGTGTGCTCTGCGCTATGGCCCGGTTGCCCACCGCCCAGTCCTGTACTACCTGAAAAGATCTTCATCTTCTCCAAATCAAACACAAATGTAAAGAACTCCCGGGGTTCAAATACAGGCACGATATGGTTAGGGATGTTTTGTTTGACATATTCAAGCGTGCCGGGGTTTCCGCTAAGAAAGAGGCACCTGTTAATTTCTTGACTGACCCGACAGAGGAAGGTCACCCTCAGACCGGCTGACTGACATTTTGATTTTGGATGGGTCGGAGGGAAACACGCATGTGTGGATCTTACAGGGGTATCCCCTCTCGTGGGCCTGAGGGCTGGGGGTTTCACGGCAGGACATGCTGCTTTAAAAGCAGCTACAGGCAAAGTCACCAAACATGAGAAATCGTGCATGGAAAATCAACACGTGTTCATACCATTTACATTTGATACGTTTGGTTTCCTCGCACCCGGATGGGTAGAGCTTCTTCAAAGAGTACAACGAATCATGCATAGTAATGTTATATCCCCTAGATCTTCGGATGTAGTCTTTAAAAGAATTAGCTTTACCATTCAAAAAGGCTTAGCGGCACAGCTTGTTGCCCGTTTGCCATCTCACTCATTGTACGATGACAATTAAAATTTTATGGAAGCCATTTGTTAACACAAATTGTTGTTTCGGGTGACAAATCTAAGAACCGATCATGGGGCACGGTATATTCGGATTTAATTTAGAAAAAAAAAACCCTAATATACGATCAACATATAATCAAGGATCGCAATCAAAACACAAAAGCTTGTGTGCATGAATGCGATAATTAATCCTACTAATCTAACTCTTTATGTGTTTGCTCACGGCTGATACAAGTGGGAGACCTAGCAAGAAGCACAGGTCATCAGCTAAGGTTGTTCGCAAAAAGAATTTGTAATTTGTTATTATCACCGTTTGCTTTTATTATTTTGGATAGGAGAATTGTTTCATTGTGGTTGATGAACTGAGAAAATCTGAATTATACTTCATCTAGGGTCAGACAAATGGTTCATTGAAGTTGATGAACTGTTAATCCTACAAAGAAGTTAAATTTCTATTCATCATTGTTACTATTTGCTCATTCTATTTTCAATTGGTATTTTGGAAGTGTCTTACTGTTTCACTATGTTTGATGAATTGATAACTGAACTAGGGTATCTCATATCGGTATAAGCTGATGAATTATTTATTTTATTTTTTTGGAATCGATAAAAGCACATGATTCTCTTTAGAATCTATGAAGCAGATGATTTTAAGGCAGCTTGGTATAATATGATTTGCTGTTATAAAGTCTACAATTGGTAGTTGGTTATATGTGATTCTTGAAATATAGCAGTTTATAGGGTTTGTGAATTACATATGGTTGATGTAGTTAGGTGTTAATCTTGTTTGATGTTAACATTAAGCAGTTAATATGACTAATGCCTATTTGAGTGTGAATTGTTAGTAGAATGTCTCAAATAACGTTGTTGTTCTGAATTAAGCAGTTGATATGAGTTATGCCTGTTTTTGTGTGATTTATTGTTTACATTGTTGGTATTTATGTTTACATTTTGGTTCTCGCAGATAACGGAGGAAGTTATAAACTTGGTAAATATGGTTTGAAGAAGTGTTTACACTTTACACTACATAGAAGATATCTAATTGAGTATGGTTTAGGATAAGAAACAGAGTTAAGAGTTAAGAGGGACTAGAGAGAGAGAAAAATGGCGTTAGATGATGATAAGGTAAAGAGAACTCGAGATCTGCTATCGAGCTTCTCAGACTTATGCTCCCACCAACACCACATCAAGATTCGCCACTCTCGACACTATCAACACCACCTCCTTCGATGTTGATCAGTACATGAACCTTCTTGTACGCCCTCTCATCTCATCTTGAAATTGTATCCCTTATATATTTTCTATCTTCTTTTATCTCTTAATGTTGTATCAAAATCTAGGTTATATTTACAATTTAATTGAGCCCATTTCATTTCAGAGGTAAATTGTTTCTCTCTACGGGTATCAAGTGTATATACATATCACTATGTTATTCAAGACTTACAATGAAGGTTCCACATTAACCTTATTCAAGATTTATAAATCTAGATTTCTCCATTTAGTCTTGATTAATCGGACATGTTTTTGCCAACACTTTGATGCTGTTATCCTTAGCCACTTGGAGGAGTAAAATTGTTCAATTAGAGAGTCAAGGTTGAACCTGTGGGTTAGCTGTGTCTCTCTCCTAACCCTATCTTGAGTTACAAGAATCTTGAGTCTTTAAAGGTTAAGTTAAAGACCTATTTACCCTTTGTTGAAAATTAAGTTAAATCTACCCCACATCCATCAAGTCCTTGCCATTTAATTATAAATAACCTAAGCGCACTATAAGGAAATTGTAATTGTTCTATAGCCCCACCCTTTCTTTATACTACTTAAAGCCTTTAGAATTCTCTCCTTGTAAGCATTCTAAGAGTAATTTCAAGTTCCTTCCCCATTTACCTATTTCTTCTTACTTCGCTTGCTTCACTTAATTATTAATCATTTATTTTAGTAAGCATGTTTACTTCTTTCTCCAACCATTTTCCTCATAATTTCTTAATTTTCCCATTCTGCCCTTGTTGTGTTCTGAAACATATTCTGTTTGTGTGGTAACATAACAATTAACAGGTACACTGCATTTTCTGAGCTATTACCACTTCTGGCAGTGGCGCACAACTCCATTGTTGAAGGTTGATAAGATTTGTCAACAAATCTCTAACACTACCCTTACCATTGATAATTCCATCACATTCTCCACCCCTTTTTCTACTTTCACCTCCACTGCATCTGCAAACTTTGAAGTCAGAAGTCCCTCAAGAATCCAGGTACCTTTTTATTTTTATTTTTTTTACAACACAAATGTACAGACTTCCATTCGTTTGTTTATTATAGCTTAACACCCTACTTTGACTTCTAATTCTTCCTATTTCAACATTCTACTTTGAAAATCTACCAATTTATAGCAATATCATGAAAATGACCTATTTACCCTTTGTTGAAAATTAAGTTAAATCTATAATAAATATTTCATGATCTTTTCAGGTACAATTTAAGGAAGGGAGTTTTCAGCCTCCAAAGATAAAGTCAAATGTAAGCCTTCCGGAAAGTGTTGAGATTTTTGGCCAAAATATAAATTTGTCAGTTGTACAGCAATCTCTGAACCCTTTGCAAGAGGCTGTGGCAAGTTTAGCAGGTGCCATTTCAGGTCAAGCTCCTCTTAAGATTCAAATCCCAGGTGAAAGAACAAAATCCTGGCTTTTAACCACATACTTGGACAAGGATTTAAGGATTTCCAGAGGTGATGGTGGCCTCTTTGTTCTTTGATAAACTTTTCTTTCTTTTGTGTTTTGTCAGATCAGATGCTTATGAACCCATGCAATTCACTTATCTTTTTGCTCTGTATGTTGAACTTTTCACCAGACATATGGGGACTCCTTATTCCAGGATTGTAAGAAAGCATCTGAAGAAGTAATGTCAGTTATTGTTAACAAACTTCAGGTACATTCATTGTTAATTTGTTACTCATGATTATTCAGATCCTTATATAGCCGTTTGGAATATATGTATTATCAAGAATAAAGAGAAAACAATATTGTGCATCTGGTCTTTCAGGACAACTAGTTTTTTTGTTTCGATCTTTTATATTTATATTTATTTTCATTTTCATGACTTGTACATGTTACTTTTCAGGAAATTGGGTCCTCATTGTCATTGTTAGGTGGTGTATGCTTTTGATCCTACTGAAGTGCGTCACACCTTTAGAGCAGCTGGGGAAAGGTTCTTGCAACTGAAAACAACTATATATTTTGAAATCCATGAATGTAGGATTTTCATTTGTTCATGTCACAACATTCTACTTATGAAAAAAAAGTATATTTGTGACAATATATCATACTTTAATTTTTTTTGTAGCTAAACTTGATTGTGTGATTAACAAAAGCTATTTTTGTTTCAGCTAATGCTCAAGTCATTACTTGCCATCCATGCCCGGTGGACAGCAGCCCAGTACACCAGGTGTCAAACCAATGATATGGATGATTTTTAGGTGATATAGTTAGGGAAAACCTATTAATAACAATGTACAATTAGATCCCTTAATACCAATGCATCACAATTTTTTAACATGATGTTATTGGATGAAATTGATTGCTTTGGTATATACTTGTTTATATATTTTTGTATTATGCGTAAATCAATATCGTAAAGGCACGTCGCATATGCATATCGTAAATGGTTGCTGAAGTTTATAACACGCAAATGAGTGTCATCTTCATTTATGACAGGGGCTTTAATGATACGCAATGTGTGTCGTAAGATTACGACACGCAAATGCGTGTCGTCTTTCTTTATGACAGGGCCTTCCTTGATACGCATTGCGTGTTGTAACTGTGCATTGTAAATGCGTGTCGTAAATGCGTGTCGTAAATAGACGACGTGCCAAAGCGTGTCGTCTCTCGTTATGACATGGCCTTCCTTGACACGCATTTGCGCGTCGTCTGAGCGTTTTACGACACGCATTGCGCGTTGTAAAAGGCTGTTTTTCTAGTAGTGACACACAATATAATGCATTGTATTCATTTCGTCCACTAATTTTAGGGCATCCCACATTAACATCAAGGATGTGAGAGATTAGAATGCAAACTAATTATGACACTAAAGTCTACACGTGTAGGCGCTATATTGTTTTGCTCCAAAAGATTGCTCACAAAGGGTCTGTAATCCTCAAACAAGTCTTCATTATTATGTTATAGTAAGGAAAAATTGCACAAAAGACACTAGGTTTTTAGAAAAGTGTGACTTTGACACTGTGTTTCCTTTTCTATTTAGTCAATGCATTTTATATTATTTTACAATTTTGACATCCAGAAAGTGATGTCACCAAAAATGTCACATCATCATTCCATGTCAGCACCACACCATCAAATGTCGACACATCACCATGCTACATCATTTGGAAACTAGGTTGACCAGTCAAATGGTCAACATAAAAACAAATTGGAAAATATAGTGTCAAAATTATTATTTTGGAAAACTTAGTGTCTTAATCGTAAAAAAATAATACAATGCCAAAATCAAAATTTTTGTGTAAACTTTGTGTCTTTAATGCATTTTACCCTAATTAATACGTAATGGCTTTTTTTTTGAAAGAGACTACTCGTTAACCTCTAACAATAACTTACAAGTAAGCTATTTTTTATGTATTGTTTTATTAGACTTTGTATTTAGATATGATATAGTATGATCTCTTTTCTACCTAAATATGTATTGTGTTATATCTTTATTATGGTTGAGAATGATATAGTATTGTTTTTATGATATAGTATTGTTTTATTATGGTTGGATTAGTGTCTAAGCCGGTAACTATATTTGGTAAGTACTTGACCCGGTTGTGCATGGTCCTTTTGGGTTGCCTTCACCATAGCAACTTGACAGGGTGATTTATGAATGAGAGAGGAAGATATTATGATTTATTAATATATTATGAGAATAATATAGTAAAGGAATAATCATATTATTTAATTAATATTAGTCATAGATTAATTAGGAATTAATTTGGTGACTAAAAGAGATTAATTGAATAAAGGGGCTTAAACTGTCAAATGTGTGATAGTTGTATTTTGGGCTAGGAAACCCTCATGGACAAGGGGTGGACGAAATTATGGGAAGGAACCCATCAAGATTTCGTCCAAGGCCTTACTCCAGAAGGTTCCATGGGCTGCTTGGTGATTAAGTTGTCCATTAGGGTTTTTGGCTGAAACCCTAGAAGCTCATAGTATCAATAGATCCCTTGGGTTGTAGAAATAGGCTACACTTGCTTCCTTGGAACCCTAGGGCCGATTTCTATACCTCTCTCCTCTCTCCAAATCATCCTCTTGCTAGTTGGTGTTTGTAAGCCATTAGAGGAGTGACAATTGTGACTCTAAGCTCCAAGACAAGAAGAATTAAGCAAGCTACAAGAGGTAATCATCTAGATCTGAGTTTCTTACGTCAAATTTGAATTGTATACACTAGATCTAGGGTTTGCAAGACTTGGATAAATTGCATGTTCAATTAGAGAAACCTAGATCCAAGCATTAGGGTTTACATGTGCACATACGAAAGTTCTTATGGCTCAAACCCATCAGTGGTATCAGAGCTTTGATTGATTTCTATTGAATTGATGCCTTGTTTATTTATTCAAGTTTTGAAAAATCATTTTTTTTTGCCCCTTGACTGACAGACTCGGCGAGTCCCATTGTGGACTCGACGAGGAGGATGAACTCGACGAGTCCATAAAGGGACTCGGCGAGTCGGAGCGTCTGTTAGAGTGATTTTCGGGATTTCTTGCTGTTTTGCTTAAGGATTCTTACCTAAATCGTTTTGGTTTAATAAAATCCGAATTTTATCATTTGTTTGTCAATATCCTTAACAAAACAAAAGATAATTACCAATTATTTAAATAATAATTTCCTTATTTGATAATAATTGATTATTTGAATTAATTGTTGAATTATCTTGCAAGTAATATTGACTAGGTCAAATTTAGATAATCATTAATTAATTGGTTAATTTATATTATTTGCTATTTGATCATTGTGTTTTGAAAAGTTCAAAACTTGTCCTCAGTTTTGAAATTAAATTTTGTGATTAAAAGTTTAATTTGAACTATTTAAATTTAAAACCTTAGAATTTTACAAGTTTTAAAATTCAACCTTATACTTATAATATTATAAGATTAATATATATATATATATATATATATATATATTATATATATATATATATATATCTATCTTATATTATAACTTAAATGCTAGTCTTACCGTTAGTAGGCCTCATTCACGAAGCCGGTCTATAAGGGGGGTATAAGGTTATGGCCTATAAAAATGGGTTTAATGAGTGTCCATTCTCACCCACCGCTTCCTTGATTGGTGGAGGGCCGTTAGCCGAAACGGGTAGGATAGGGCAAAGTTTCCTCATTAAAAGTATAATGAATCTATATAAAGTAACTAATATTTTTACAAAATTCCAATCTTAGTTACTTTAGGCAAAAGTGAATTTGATGCAATTCCATGAAATTACACTTTGTACCCTTGCTAAGACGTTAATGGAGCGGTGTGTGGTTAACCGACACATTAATTGGGTTCTAAGCAAAGGTGGCAAAGGGTGACTCATTGTTGTCATAGTTCGATGGAGCGTGTGTGGTAACCGGCACATCGAATAGGTGACTGTAACAATGAGGGCACCATGTACATTTGCATGGTTATTCACACCGGCTTTGTGATCCTCGGCATCCCAGTCACAAACTAGAGGGGCATATCGAGATTTAAACATGCCATTGAAAAGTTCAATGAATCTCAAAAGATCTAGGAGTTTTTCAATACATTTAAAAATTAATCTCTTTTTCGTTTTTCATGGTGGAGAATTAGTGAATCGACATTCACTTGCCTTCAAATTATTTACTTGTTAGATTACGACATTCCTTTTCTAATTTGTGAATAATGTTGTTGGTTCCTAGCCCTAATTTTTCATTTGGGTGATTAATTGGGGAAATTCATTTCTAATCAACTTTGTTCTTTTTCCTTTTCAGATGTCGAACGCAAACAACAACGCTTCTTGGTTCAAACTCCTCTGGTTCGTTCTCACTCATGAACTTGTGTGGGAAAGTGATCTTTGATGGGACCATTTCAGTAATTGGATCCGCATCATTCGCATGGTCACTCGCTACGAGGACAAATAATATGTCCTCGATGAGAAGCTAAAGGAGATTGACATCGACACTGCTACCGCTGAAGAAATCGCAGCCTATAAGGCCCACGAGCGTGATGCCACGAAAGTCCATTGCATCATGCTAGCGACTATGACTGCAGAACTCCAGAAGTCCTATGAGAATAAGTACCCCTATGAGATGCATCAGGATCTGCTGGAACGCTACAACCAGAGCGCTAGGCAAGAAAGGTACGAGATCATCACTTCGATGATCACCACCAAGATGGGTAATGGAGAGTCCCTTACCGATCATTTGCAAAAGATGCAGAGATATGTCGATCGCCTGCTGAAGTTGAATGTGAACTTCGATGAAGAGCTGGCAATTGACATCATCCTTCACTTATTGTCTTCCTGCTATAGCCAGTTCCTCATGACCTACCACATGAATAAGGAAGAGGTCTCCTTGAGCAAGCTTCAGGGCTTGTTGAGGACTGCTGAGAGCAACCTCAAAGATAAATCTGTTGCATCAACTCCAACTCCCGCTGCTGCCCCTGTCTTAGCAATAGGGCAAGGGAAGGGTAATAAGAGGAAGGCTCCTCAAGGGGCCCACCACAAGGAAAGTCCCAAGATGGCACCTCTTCTAGTGGAACCAAAGTTGGTTCTGCTAAACCCACTCTAACCCTAAGGAGGCAGAGTGCCACTACTGCCACAAGATAGGGCATTGGAAGAGAAGTTGCCCAGAATATCTGCAGGCCATCAAGGATGGGAAGATCAAGCCATATTTTGCAGGTATTTACACAATTAAATCTAATGGTTTATCACATGCTACTTCTTGGGTTCTTGATACAGGATGTGGTTTTCACATATGTTCTGATTTGCAGGGACTAAAAAGAAATAGGGATGTGGAGCATGGAAGGATGAATCTGATCATGGGAAACAGAAGATCGTCGCCTGTGACCAAGATTGGAGTTTATTCCTTAGTGCTTAGTAATGGATTAGGTTTAGATTTGAATAATTGTTGTTATTCGCCAGATATGGCTAGAAACATCATTTCATTTCATGGTTTATATAGACAAGGTTTTAGATACTCATTTGACAATGAAAAGGGTTCTATTTATGCTTATTTTAATAATGTTTTATATTTTGAAGCATTGCCTTGTAATGGAATATATGAAACTGTGATGGTTGTAGACAACTTAGGAAATGATGTGTTGTGTGTAGATTCTTCCAATAGTATGGATAAGGCATGCTTGTGGCATTGTCGTCTTGGACATGTCAACAAGAAACGTATAGCCCAACTCCAAAAGGATGGAGTGTTGGAGTCATTCGACCTTAGGGACGATGACGTGTGCGAGTCTTGTTTACTTGGAAAGATGACCAAGTCACCCTTCACTGGCACTTGTGCGAGGGGTGAGGGTTTATTGGATCTCATACATATAGATGTATGTGGACCCTTTTGATCCACCAAAAGGGATCCGAACCGCTTCTATGTGACTTTCACAGATGATTATATCAGATATGGGTATATCTACTTAATCAAAACACAAGTCAGAAACCTTTGAAAAGTTCAAAGAGTTCAAGCAAGAAGTGGAGAATCAGTTGGGCAGGAAAATCAAGATGCTTCGATCTGATCGAGGTGGAGAGTACCTAAGTCTTGAATTCCACGACTATCTCAAGGAATGCGAAATTGTTTCGCAATTGACGCCACCTAGGACACCACAGTTGAATGGTGTGGCTGAGAGGCGTAATCGAACCTTGCTAGACATGGTTCATTCCATGATGAGTCGCGCTTCACTACCTATCTCATTCTGGGGGTATGCCTTAGAGACTGCCGCCCATATCCTTAACTTAGTCCCTACGAAGAAGGTTGCCAAAACACCTCACGAAATGTGGACATGGAAGGCTCCCTCGTTGGCACATATCAAGGTTTGGGGTTGTGAGGTTTTCGTAAGACGAGAGACTCACGACAAGCTCGAACCTTGTAGTGAGCGATGTATTTTCATCGGCTACCCGCATAAATCCTTTGGATATCTATTCTACAGACCGAGTGACAATGTTGTCTTCGTTGCGAGGAGAGGGGTTTTCCGAGAGCGAGAACTCATAAGCCAAGGAGACAGTGGGAGGCAAATCGATCTTGAAGAGCTTCAAGAATCGAGCGATGAAGGAACCTCTAACATTGGCGCTCAAACCGAGGAGGAAACTCCGGTTGAACCAAATTGACGAGTCCTTACCTCTTAGACGTTCCGAAAGGGTTAGTGTTCCACCCCAGTTTTATGGTTTTCATATTACTACAGAAGGGGATACGTTCACTAGTGATAGTACACTAGTGAATCTGGACGAACCTAACAGCTATAAGGAAGCCATGGCAGGCCCGGAGTCTACGAAATGGAAAGAGGCTATGGACAACGAGATTCAGTCCATGTATGACAACCAAGTTTGGAATTTGGTTGACAATGTACCAGGTCGTAAGACGGTCGGGTGCAAGTGGATCTTCAAGAAGAAGACCGACGTGGATGGAAATGTGCACACTTATAAGGCGCGATTGGTTGCGAAGGGTTTCACTCAAACTCGTGGAGTTGACTACGATGAAACTTTTTCACCAGTTGCGAAGATAAAGTCTATCAGGGTGATGCTGGCCATTGCTGCATTTCATGACTATGAAATATGGCAAATGGATGTCAAAACCGCTTTCCTTAATGGGAAGTTGGCTGAGGATGTTTACATGGCTCAGCCAGAGGGTTTTGTCAATGTGAAGCATCCCAATAGAGTGTGTAAGCTTGAGAAGTCCATTTATGGACTTAAGCAAACGTCTCGCAGATGGAATCTTTGTTTTGACGAGAAGGTCGAAGAGTTTGGTTTTCTGCAAAGCGAAGATGAATCATGTGTATATGTCAAAGCCAGTGGGAGTGTAGTAAGCTTCCTCATTTTGTATGTCGACGACATACTACTCATGGGAAACGACATCCCAAAACTGCAGGAGGTTAAGTCCTGGCTCGGGAAGTGCTTCGCTATGAAAAGGACCTCGGAGAGGCTTCCTATATTTTGGGAATAAGGATAGTGAGAAACAGAAGTAAGAGACTAATAGGACTTAGTCAGAATACTTACTTGGACAAGGTACTAAAAAGTTTTAGTATGGAGAATTCAAAGAAAGGGGAGTTACCAATCCAAAGTAATGCCAAGTTGAGTAAGACTCAAAGTCCGAGTACTGAAGTCGAGATAGCAGAGATGAGCCGAGTACCTTACGCTTCCGCAGTTGGCTCAATCATGTATGCTATGACTTGTACCCGCCCTGATGTGGCCTTCGCTTTGAGCATGGTCAGTAGATATCAAGGGAACCCTGGCAGAGCGCATTGGATCGCAGTCAAGAATATTCTTTAAGTACCTTCGGAGGACCAAGGAATGGTTTCTAGTCCTCGATGGGAGTGATGACTTAAAGGTGCGTGGGTACAGTGACGCCAGTTTTCAGACCGACAGGGACAACTACCGTTCACAGTCGGGCTGGGTCTTTACCCTTAATGGAGGAGCAGTGACTTGGAAAAGTTCCAAACAGGAGACCATAGCTGATTCAACGTGCGAATCAGTGTATATAGCGGCGAGCGAAGCGTCAAAGGAGGCGATATGGTTGAAGAACTTCATTGGAGACCTTGGAGTTGTGCCGGCCATACAAGAGCCTATGGAAATTTTCTGTGATAATGAAGGAGCGGTTGCCTTGACCAAGGAATCGAGAGATCATGGCAGATCTCGACATATCGATAGAAAATATCACTTTATTCGACATCGGGTGGAAGAAGGGCTCCTCGTAGTTAAGAGGGTATCGTCAGAGGATAACCCAGCAGATCCGCTTACGAAGGGACTGAGCAGGGTTAAGCACTTGCAGCACGCTAGGAGCATTGGGCTGAAGGACGATATTAGTTTAGATTAGATAGTTTAGAAACATGTAATAGATAAATTGTAATTAACATTCGATGATTAAATAAAAGAGTATTATTTATTAGTAATGTTACTGTCTTATGTTAATCATTTACCTATTGTTTCATTTTTGCATGTTTTGACTTCCTGATTAATTGAATTATTTTATAATAATCGAATTATTCAAACGGTCCACAGTCGTTCATATGTTGGAAGTAGATATGAATGAATACTATCATGAATTGGTGTGTAGATTGTCTAAAGAGTATTAGACATAGCAAAAGTTTGCTACAACGTTCATGAGTGCTTATGAACTTGATTTGAGCATTGGAATAAACCCACGCTTGCTGGAATCGCTTCATGGAATTCATCACGAGTGATCGCAAGACGGTAATATCATATGGTCTTAAAACCTAGATATATGGTTTATTGTTTGCTAATTGGTTGTGCATTGATAATGCGTAAACACATCAGTAACTTGATGTTATAAAACGCATTGTTGTGTATGATTTGATTAGTGGATAGTAAATGCATATAAGTCGAAGTTTATCTGTTCCTTTTATCCTAAGAGGGTAAAAGCGATATCAGGGCCCCTCGATGATTTGATTTGACTTATGTGTCGGGCCTGATCAGGACTGGATTGATGTGTTCAATTAAGTTCTATGTCAAATGAATCTGAGATCGAGAAACTAACTGATGGACAATAAGTATGACTATGTTCCATGTGATTGTCCACATGATATCTAGAACAGAGGATTATACGATCCCTTATCTAAAGGACAGGTTACTGATAAGATCAGAGTTTGACAAGCGTGTTTGAGAGCTACGATTGCTAATCGGATTGTGCTTGCATTTGTAGTTACTAGACTTATCTAAGTGGGAGACTGTTGGATTAGTGTCTAAGCCTGTAACTATATTTGGTAAGTACTTGACCAGGTTGTGCATGGTCCTTTTGGGTTGCCTTCACCATAGCAACTTGACAGGGTGATTTATGAAGAGAGAGAAGATATTATGATTTATTAATATATTATGAGAATAATATATTAAAGGAATAATCATATTATTTAATTAATATTAGTCATAGATTAATTAGGAATTAATTTGGTGACTAAAAGAGATTAATTGAATAAAGGGGCTTAAACTATCAAATGTGTGATAGTTGTATTTTGGGCTAGGAAACCCTCATGGACAAGGGGTGGACGAAATTATGGGAAGGATCCCATCAAGATTTCGTCCAAGGCCTTACTCCAGAAGGTTCCATGGGCTGCTTGGTGATTAAGTTGTCCATTAGGGTTTTTTGGCTGAAACCCTAGAAGCTCATAGTATAAATAGATCCCTTGGGTTGTAGAAATAGGCTACACTTGGAACCCTAGGGCCGATTTCTATACCTCTCTCCTCTCTCCAAATCATCCTCTTGCTAGTTGGTGTTTGTAAGCCATTAGAGGAGTGACAATTGTGACTCTAAGCTCCAAGACAAGAAGAATCAAGCAAGCTACAAGAGGTAATCATCTAGATCTGAGTTTCTTATGTCAAATTTGAATTGTATACACTAGATCTAGGGTTTGCAAGACTTGGATAAATTGCATGTTCAATTAGAGAAACCTAGATCCAAGCATTAGGGTTTGCATGTGCACATAGGAAAGTTCTTATGGATCAAAACCATCAATAATTAGATTTTCATAGTAATACAAGCAGTTGTAAATAAGGTAAAGGTTAATGATCTAGGAAGGTAATGTACTTTAGGTTTTTTCCATATTTAGGTAACGATGTTTTTTGGTACACGTTTTCTAATTGCAATTGTTTGACCTGTTTAAATGAGGTAATATGACCGATAATCTTAGGTTTAAAACTCAAAATGAGTTATGTGTCATTAATTTATATTACATGGCATTTTGTTGATATTACGTGGATATTAATAGGTATTGCATCCGATTTATGGCTTAATTGCTCCAATTTGTTCATTACGCTCAATTAGGGATCTATAGCACACTCCAAAATTTCGAAGGGTTCTTCATAAGCAATCAATCTCCCCCTTCATTTCTCCATCTATAATGACGGAAGAATCTTCACTGATAGTTTACGTCCATAATAATGGTGCATCCGACCACAATCTGATTGTGTATTTCGACCCAGATAGAACTTTGATATGAGATGTCAAATTTAGTGGGATGGTCTTCTCAAAGTTCATAGCTTTCCTTGAAAAACTCACGAAGACCATATGCAAGGGCGTTTACTACTGTCTTTTAAATGAAAGGTTGAGTGAAGGGTTAGGGGTAATTCAGAATGAAGAAGATTATAGAGAGTTTATTGAGGTAGGTAATGGAATCCATGCAAAAAGAATCAATGTGTATAATGATCAATATAATGAACCTGTATTTGACTGGATTGAGGATGAGAACCTTGATAAAGATGATGTGACTATAGAGTATGAGAACCTTGAAGAGGAGGTTGATGATTCTATATTTTCAGGTTTAATTTCATATGAACATAAAGAGGATGAGGTGGTGTCAATCCCGAAACCACTTGATGATCCATTTTTGAATGCTCTTTGTCATATCAAGAAAGAAGAAGATGGTTCCGACATAGATGAATTAGAGGAAGAAGTTGACGTGAAACCAATGTATTATATCCATGATCCAATCTAAATATAGAACAAGATGCTTCCTATATTAGGTATAGAGTTTTATGACCCCAATGAGCTTAAATGTTTACTGTGTAATTATGCTATCAAACATGGATAAGTGTATGAATGTAAAAGTTGGTAGTTGAGAGGTATCCCATGACTGCATGGCATGGCTGTAATTGCATACGTGAATCATGATTTGGAGTCATATGTGGCACCTTGTTTTAGCAAACAAAGTTTGATTTCATGTATAACGCCCACGTTTCTGGCTAAACATTATTATAATGATGTAATAGTTAGGGTCAACAAATGTAACCTATTTTGAAGTAATGAAGAAGAATTATTTGATTATTATGTGATTTATGTGATTTATGTGCAACATATGTGATTATAACGATATAATAGAATAATAATAAAAATATACGTCAAAAATAAAATAATAGATAGACCCAATATCTATGAATAAATTTGAAGTAGTCGTAACAAGGATTCCATAGATATAAGGAACGCTGAAATCCGACTTATAACGAAGAAGTTATGACCCGTCGAAGTTTTGCCACTAAACCGGGACAACGTCGCGTATCGTAAAAAGTGAATTTTTGATAAACTAATTTTATCCTTAGCGATCTACTGAAATTCGTAGTATACGTTAAACCGAGAACGTACATAATAAGAACGTCCAAATCTGACTTCGTTAGAGGAAGTTATGATTTTTCTAAGATTTAGCATAGCAATACACAACCCGAAAATCGAATTTTAGATCGATCGATGATTAGATGATACAACCTAAATGAGAATTGAAGATCTCGTTAATAGGAGCTCAATGGTATAAAGACAGTCGAAAACGGACATCGGATGACAAAGTTATGAATTTTTAACGGACTTTAACTGTCTAAGCCTGTTAAAATATAACTTTAAAAATAAATTCAAAATTAGCCGACGGAGTCTAAATGAAAGTTGTACATCACGTCTGTACCTACGCGTGTATATAAAGAACGTCAAAAACAGAGCTCGTATGCGAAAGTTATGGACTTTAGAAGATAATTAATTTTTCTGTTAAGTTTCGGAGGTGACACGTGACACCATCTCAGCTACACCTTCCTCCCCACGGCTTTCACATGCGATCTCGAAACGTGTCGATGGTACGTCCTGTGTAAGGCTTGGTAGTCCCAGCGTACTGAGTACGCCCCGCGTACGTTGAACCTTCAGCCTATAAATAGAGGCGTTTTTCCTCATTTTTCTTCACACCTTCTCAACTTCTCTCCCAAATACCCCCAAAATCCTCTTATCCTTTCCCTAGCACTTCCTAAGTGCTAGAAGCGAGTCCTGGAGCGCCAGAAGGCCCCGATAAGAAGAGCTTTCAGCTCAGAAGTCCTGCCCGTGCAGAGCCCGGTTCCTCGCTAAACCCCTTTGTAAATGAGTTATGCTTACCCTACTTTAAGTATACTGATTGATCTACTTACGGGGATGATGTCTAGGTTGTGATTTAGTGAGGTGTTTAAAGTGGGCTTTCTAAACAGTATACTTCGTATACCAAACGAACCTTACCTTCGATATGATCCTACCTGGTTGTTCCTTACTTGATAGATCATGAAAGTAGACCTTGAGTTAATGATGAATCTAGACTATTAATTAGTTCAATAAATATTAGACTAAAAATCTAGTAATAATGATACTAGGTTTCGTCGAAGGAAAAGAAAATTGTTAGAAGCGAAGCGCTGCCCGAATTTCGAGTCATCACTTTAACAAGTGAGTGCATAGTTACTTTCATCTTACACATAGATATGAAGTATTTTAATATAAATTGCATGCTATATGTGCATATTATATGTGTTCTCGCACCATGTAGGTGTTTTTAAACTACATGTTCACCTGGTGTACTCCATCCCCCTCATGGTTACCTTACTGACATATATTGTTGAGGAATCCCATAAGTAGTATTGTCTTCCCGATGATAATACTTAGGATAGGTCCATTGAATTAGATGTTTTAAGGACAGAAAGTAAGGATAAATGGAACGGATAATCGGGTTGAATGATTTGATGAAATTAAAGAAAATTAATTATTGTGGGTTGAAATGTAACGCCCGGTTCCCGGTACGTATTTTAAATATGAATTTTTGCATTTTTACACTGAGACTCGACGAGTTGGAGGTCCCAACTCGTCAAGTAAGAGGCGAATCTTGGACGCGGGTGGAAGAGTCTACTTGCCGAGTCGGATGCCCCGACTCGACGAGTAGACCTGTCTAGATGAAACCCTAAATTTTAGGGTTTGCACCCTATTTCAACACTTTATCTGGCCTCCATCGTCTCCCTTAGTCCAGAAAACCCTAACTTGAAACCCTAGAGCATTTTGCAAGTGTGAGAGCCATTCTTGAGGGATTTTGTGTGTTTTTGAAGCTTGAGAAAAAAGATGAACCTTGGGAGATCAAGAGGAATCAAGTAGATCCAGAGATTTTGTCACATTCCCAGCTCATTTGAGGTAAAAAGTCTGTACCTTGTTCATTCATTCATTAGATCTCTCCATAGGGTAGTTTAGTGCCATTTAGAGCTCATTATGGAACCATTCGTGGATGCAAGCTTGTTTTGGTGTTAGGACTTCGGATCGAGAGTCTTAGAGGGACTCCATGGCATAAAGGTGCCAACTTTATGGCCATGGGAGTCCCATGCATCTTATGGAATGCTTTTTAGGACTTTGTGGACTAGTTAACCCATACATGCACATAAAGTTTGTAACTTTACGTGCTATATCGATCCTAGGAGGTCAGATCTATGTTCTAGATGCATTAAGTCCGACTGAAATCGAATGGATAGACTTGGACTTTGGGGGACTCGACGAGTCGTTCATGGAACTCGGCGAGCCGGTCATGGTTCCCCAACCTTTTCCGTTTCTGAGCAATATGGTTGAGTCTAGAAGGGGACTCAACAAGATGGACGTGAATATGGACTTGAAGATCAAAGAACTCGATGAATTCAAGGATGAACTCGGTGGGTTCAAGGAAATGTCCCGACTGTTATGAAGAAGAACTCGACGAGTTCAAGGATGAACTCGGCGAGTCATGAGCAAAAGGTCCCGATTCTGTATGAAGGCGAACTTGACGAGTTCTGAAAGACACGACGAGTAGGATCGAAGTTCCAGTGTTTTGTGGATTATGGAACTCGACGAGTTGGTAGACCAACTTGGCGAGTTGAGTCAACCAGATGTTGACTCTGACCAAAAGTTGACTTTGACCTAGGTGTTGACACTGACTTTGACTTTGACCTGAGTTGACCCTTGAAAGGGTTATGAGTATGCAATGGTAATTAAGGAAGGTTGTTATGTATAGGACGTTGAGAGGAGTCGATTCCAGCACCGAGGATAGTTCAATTACTGCACGACATTGAGGTGAGTTACCTTCCAGTAGAAGTGGGTCTAAGGCTACAATGCTGACCCACTAGTAGGAGATGTTTGTTAGATGATTGTATTTATGATAATTATTTGGTATGTTATGTTATGTATTGGTATGCTATGATGATATGTGATAATGGTAGAAAGGGTAGGATAGACCCTAGTACCGGTCGATAGGGCCGAAGGGGATTCCCAGCACCCGAATAAGCTAGGCAGTATATAATTTATATGTTATGCACTAGGATGCTATGTGGTAGAAGTAGGGGGTGAAATAGTCCCCGATACCGGTCGACAGGACCGAAGGGGTAGGCCAACACCCTGATATGATAGGCTAGGTACCGGTCGACAGGACCGAAGGGGTAGGCCAGCACCCTGATATGCTAGGTTAGGTACCGGTCGACAGGACCGAAGGGGTAGGCCAACACCCTGATATACTAAACAAGTTACTGGTTGAAAGAGACCTAAAGGGTAGTCAGTACCCATATATGTTAGACAGTATGTGTTATGTATGGTATGTGGTATGATGGGGGAACTCACTAAGCTTTGTGCTTACAATTTTCAGTTTTGTTTCAGGTACCTCTTCGTCGAAGGGGAAGGAGCCGGCACGGTAGAAACGCATCACACACACAAGATTTATGGATTATGAGATTCTTGGGATTGTACTCTGACAGTATTATTATTTAATGATATGGTTTGAGACACGTGACTATATTTTATGAAATGATATGGATCGATGATGTTTTTCAGTAAACTGTTTTATTAATTGCTTAATTAAAAACAAAATTTGTGGTCTTGAAATTGGGATGTTACAAGTTGGTATCAGAGCCTTGGTTTGAGAGATTCGGAGACACCTTCGGGGGTGTTTGGACTCAAATCGAGGGCTTGAAAGATTTTTACAAGAAAATAGTTTTTCTAAAATTTAAAATAAGGAGTTTTGAGAAAGAACAAGGCGTGTGATGCGTGCAATCGGCCGAGCTCAAGTAAGTTTTCCCCAAGATAGCCATACATGTTATGTTATGATGTGATATGATTATGAGAACTGCATGCTAGATTAGGGATAAGGATCTAGGAATGATGCCTTATATGTCTATTATATGTGTATGAGAATTGCATGCTAGATTAGGGTTAAGGATCTTGGAAGATGCCTTATGTGCCTGCTATATGGGCTTATCAAGTTATATGCTAGAATTGATTAGTCAGTAATATGATGGCCTGAATAGGATATGATTGGTATGGTTACTCAATGCCCGAATGCTGCTAGCTTTGTGATTTTGGGAGTTCTAGTTATCTTTAACTAGCTAGTAAATGAATACGATAAGTTACATATTGCGAGGACTAAATAATTTCAGAAGGTTAGGTCTAGCCCTATTGCGCAGCTCTTGTTTGAGTCCAACTGTTATAGGGTAGGACCTCTCATTCGAAGAATTATCTGGTCTTATTGATATGTAATGGTATTCGCAAGCTAGTTAGGTAAAGGTAGCAGGGATTCCTTATGCATTTGATGGCGGAGAGTAGGTCGGAGAGTTACCCTAGGGTAAGCCTAAGATGAGATTAGTGTAGTAAACAGTAGCAGTAGAAGGGACTTGGTGAAGTCAAGGCAATCCTTGAGGAAAGTACGGATAGATGTGGAAGGTA